GGCAATTCATGCAATGATTTATGCAGACAAGCGTGTGGAGGAAAGCGTACAATCAAAACGAAGCGCATTTGGGAAGGCTAGTGAGCCCCGACTCCGAGAGATAAAGCATGACTAAGAATTTATAAAACAATTAGTCCCTTTTATAAATTTTGATAGAATAGTGATCTGATCAATTACGTCTTCTCACTGTTCTATCAAAATAAGATTTTATAGTCAGACAAAAATAAGACAGACATGTAACAAGCGAGATGGGCATGCACACACATGAATGAAAGCAACGAGTGATTGACAAGGTCAAAAGACAAGTGGGACAAGTCATATGAACTAGACATTGAATACTCACAACAAGTTCAAATCATTCTTATTTTAAGTGAACATTATCAAGATTATGAAATATATGTGAAGATTTCTCAAAAAAAAAATACTCTCCCTACAAAAAATCAGTAGTTATTGTTCGTTATTTAAAAATCTGAAAGGAAAGATAATCTTTTTTAGTTTTTTAAAGAAAAAAAAAAATTATCAAAGCATCCTAGTCTATGGAGTTTTTAATAAATATTATCCTATTATTTATAGTGTGATGTACTTTTTTTCTCTCTTCATAGAAGTCTTATTATTGCACGATTAAATCAATTTATACCAAGTGAAGTAATCGCAGTCTATCCACAAGCAACTAAAACTTCACCAGAGGATTGGATTTTTATACACAGGTTAATATTTATAATTTCTAGATAAATTAACATTTTTAATGGTCTTTTTATAATCATTAGTAACTTACCTACTTACTTATAGGATTTAGATCATGTAGAATATGTTAAATTGTGAAATGAGACTATCAGTTATCCTGGTCTTGCTAATTAATTATTAATCACCAAGAATTACTAGACTTGTTTTGCCCTAGTATAGAACTTGTTAGCAGTGTGTGGTGATAACTTTAAAATTCAATAACTTCTATAAATGTTCTCTATTAATAATAATAATAACAACAATCATATGCTCACTATTGGCTATTTTCAATATGTAACGTAACCAAAGGACTAAGCTATGACTAATAGAGTTTACCTATATCACGTGTAAGCTAGAGTTTACTTAACAGTAGTAGGGAAAAGTGGTTGTATAGTGAGTAATACATTAGGATCTTAACTCGATGATATAAATGTAAAGTGATCATCGCAAGACTTAGATATCTTGAATTTAATCTACAATAGATTCATAAATGAACCTAGTTGATAAATTTCATGCAACAATGATACAGCTGTTCTTTACTTAATGATTTCAAATTGTTGTCTAACTAACTTGTAAAGTATAAAATTGAACAAATTACACAAACTTTTCATAGTTTTGCATCTTCTATATTATAGATTAATCCGTTTACAAAAATTGTTTACATCTAAATCTAAATTTAATTAAAGAACCGAAACTAGAATTGAAAAATGTGACCAGTACTTGTTAATTTTTAATGATTCTCAGTCATTAATGTAAACTATTATTTATATATGTGGGTTAGATTGTTAATTATATGAATTGAACATTTAACTATCGAGTGACATGTTAAGTGAAATAATCACAGAAGCTTAATATCTTGTTATAAGGTTTGGTAATAAATTCACTAATTGATCATTTAGGAATAAGCAAGAACCCATACAACTGGCTGAATCCTACTGGTTGATTTGTAATAACTTGAGATTATCATGTGCACTGTTTTCAATTTTAAATGATTGAATGTCGTTGTCAACGTATTACGAATTTAGGTTTTATGCTGGCCATCACTTGTTATTAAACTATATATCTATATTCTTAAAGGAACTGATATTTGGTCATATGCTATCAGACTTTTGTTATTAAGTGATTCACCCAGAGAACTGTTTGAGAATGATCTCATCTCTTATTGGCTAGAGGAGTTGATATCGATTGATTACATGCAAGCAACCAGTGTTATGGTACCGGTGAAATCCCAGCTTATCGTTACCGATAAAGTAACATCAAAGAAGAACTATAAGTAGTTTAAGGTGTTTGTGAAGATTGTTGAGTTCTCTAGTTTATGTCACAAATTGATTTTAGTTGAACAATTATAGAAAATGAGAAAAGCTGAACAGTTATTTCATCCCTACTCGTATAGGACTGCTAAGTAGCTCAAATTCACCATTCCAGCTGAGAATTAATCCAGAACTTTCAGATTACCTAAAGAATACTCAACCATATGAATCCTTGGGTTAGCATTCCAACTGGAATTAGCTTTGACGCTACTATAGACAAATGTTTCACTTCTGTCATGTATGAAGTAATATTATTTAGATTATAAAAATAATTATTGATTAATAAGAAGAAAACTAGGTTTCGAAATCCAACAAATAGTTTTGTCCCAACTTTTTCCGGATTCGTAGTGACTTATTTTCCTATCGGCAATAAGCAGACAACTATGTAAACTGATCTTTGATTGTAAAATACTAAACTTATTCCTATCAATAAATAGGTATTTTGCATTACGGGGTTGTGAATATTGTTAAGTTACACATTTTTTTGAAACCATGAATCGATCAATGTTAGACCACCATTAGAAACCTGTAAGCACTGGACGGCCGTTTCGTTCTGGTGTGGGACTCCTCAACAGTGCGCATCCACGACTCCTGCACCCCGCAGGATTCGAACCCAGGACCTTCGGTATTGTAGGCCAGGAGTCCCATACCAGAACGAAACGGCCGTCCAGTGCTTCCAGGTTTCTAATGGTGGTCTAAAATTGATCGATTCATTGTTTTAAAAATGTGTAAATAGGTATTTTGTTTTTAAATTGTTTATTTCAAAATTGTTATCATTAACAGAAATGTTTCTAGAACTCATTGCACACCTAAAACCAAGTCATTTCAACATGAAGCGCCTTATAAGAAAAATACTGTCATTTTCGATGGCGATGTGTTGTTTTTCTTGTTGAGAGTATTATAAATGCTTTATTTATTGATTTGAACCGATGTACCTAAGTTTGGATAAAATCAATTTAATATCACTGACCGTTAGTTACGTTAATCAATAAATATGTAGGCTACCTTGAAATAATCTGTAGAAAGCGAGTATTAGATTATTGCTTAAATTGTACATTATATTTTTAATGTATTTTTTTAAAAAAAATTCGCTTTTCATTAGAAATACTCCCATCTTACAATCGTCGACTGGAATTGATAATACATCTACAATCGGTGCATCGATTGGTTTCTGTCCAAATATCACATCCACCATGTATTTAAAGATATTTTCTTCAGTTCAAGGTAAATTACAAGGAATACCTTTACAACAAATTATATCTGCTTCAATTGAGTAAGTTCTATTTACTCTAAACTTTACAACTTGCAAAGTAATTGATCATTAAGTGTAATTAACCTTTAAATATTCATACCTTGTGCGTTAAATAACATTGACACGCTAGAAATGGTCAATGAGGATGTTTTTTTTTAATATCACTGAGTATTACAAGTTAATGAATGACATGTTAAGAAGTATCATTTTTATCGCAAAGTTGCTCCAAGAATTAGAGAAATTATTTATTGGAATAATATATATAAGGCGTTTATATTTTCGGGCAGACTTTTGGAGGTTTGTGTTTTTACACATTTGAAATCATCAATCAGTCATTGTTAGACAACCATTAGAAACCTGGAAGCACTGGACGGCCGTTTCGTCCGGGTATGGTACTCATCAGTAGTGCGCATCCACGACTCATACACCTCGCAGGATTCGAACCCGGGACCTTCGGTATTGTGCGCGAACGCCTACCATCGGACCACTGGGCCGGCATCCAACGGTGTTAATGTCTAACTCTGATTGATCTACGAATTTTTGCGTGACCTCACCCATTTGTCTTTGGTAGTTACTGCCTACACCCGACAGGGTTGAACTCCATTAGTCACGTCTTCTCAGCTAGAACTCTGAGAATTTCTTCACGAATCTAGTCACTGGTGAGCGCTGTTACGATATTTTCTGGCAGAGTTTTGGAGGTTTTGTGTTTTTTCACATTCAAAAAATGTTTAGCTTTTAAAATTTAGATGACGAGGGACTACTTACAAAATAACAATAATTATGTTATCTTTCAAATGTTTTTTTTAAATCTACCTTCAAAAATGATGGTGAGCTGTATCGACAAACATACGAATCTCCTCCGCTATCTCCTTACAAAAAAGAACTACTCTATGTGTGTAAAGTCGAATCGGACAGGAAATATAAACTTACTTTCCAAATGTTCTCATTTCATTTATGTTGGTGTATTATTCAATTGTATTTAATAAATGAAATGCTTTTAGGTAGATATTCATTCATTTATATTTAGAATAGCTTATTAATGTCACCTTTAACTAAATAGATTACTATTCCTAATTATAATTTCCAAAAAATAAGTGTAGCTTATAAATTGATGATTGACAATTATATTTTTGAAACTGAGTTACTTTTTGTTGAGATGGCGTCCACAAGCCTCAAGAGGCTCTAAAGAATCTGAAGGGTTTCAATCCAATCACAGCTAGACTGTCGATATGGCATAGTAATCAACCACATACTTTCATCTTGGTACAATATCTTCGAAGTCAGTCAAGCTGAATTTGATGGTGTACATGTCTAACGACCGTCCAGCGTTGTTAGGAGTTTGTAAGGATTTAACTTTACAATAACTTCTTACAATAGTTTTGAAAATTCATTTTGAAGCTAGTTATTTAGTCCATTATAAGAACCATTTTCTTGAAATTCAACAATCTCCACAAAATGTTTTTTTACTACAAGGCATTTTGTAACTGTTTTTTTTTAACTTTAGATATTCACAAGAAAATTGGCAATTAATATGTGATTATACAGTATACCCATCATTCTGTAGAAATTCAACTACTTTAAATGATGCACAATATTTTTATCTTAGTTTGATTGTTATGCATTCTGACTTGTCTGATAAAGCTGAACAATTAATCAAGGAAGAACAATTAGATTGTGAATTGTATGATACATGCTGGAATAATGCATTCTATGCCTGGACAGGACTAAACAAATTATATCGTTTAACAGGTAAATATGAACAAACATTTGAAATCGGAGTAACATTAGGTATATCAAGTTTGATCATAATTATTTTATTGATTACTAAACCTTTCTTTTAAAAAAAAAAATAAAAATAGACACTTTTATAAACGTATTTTTATATTTATTGTCTTTTTAATATATAATGTCAATCTCATTCATAATCTTGGTAGTTTTATGGTGTTTTTACATTAAGATGTTTTGTTATTTGTTTATGCTTTATAAATAAAAAACTTAACAATGAAAGAATTACTTTTCTAACCTAATTTACAACCGTTCACCATTTAAGGGATAATTTTATGATTCTGAGGCGGGGTAAGTGTTAAAATCAACCAATTCAGTATTGATGTGTTTTACCTCTTTGATGAGTCAATAACAAAGACAAGGAAACAACAAGCAACGCAAGTTGCCACCCTGAATTTGGTTCACTTAAATGTATTCGTTCGGTACAACTAACTTCAAATAAAACATACGATATGAAGCAATTTAATAGTATCTGTCTGATAGCATCATTTTAGAGTGAAACAGATTTGTCTGAAAGGGAAAAACTAATACGCTCGTCACTTGATATGTTTGAAACTATTACGAGTTCACGTTACCCAGTGAACGAAGCGAAGACAAATGAGGCTGTGACACGATAGGCTATTCTAATCCGTTTGTCCCCGGCTGGGCTAACTATATCAAGAAGTCCTGATATGGCGTAGAAGTGTATTCTACTGGCATCCAGAAAATACGGGGTTTACAAGCGCACAAATCGAGTTTATTTAAACATGGTAGAAACTTCCTTAGGAGAGCTACGAAAATAGTGTGCTAAAATTATACTTCAACCAGTGAAAGTCAAGGATTTTCCGAGTGGGCAATATAAGCTGAAAATAAGCTAAAACATGAAAAGTCCAAAATTAGGGCCTTTATCAAGTGGGTTCTGGTGATCTAACTTCCCCAACACACCTCCATTTTTAACAGCGTGCCTTCGTGGGGTTTACTTACACCTTGACTGTCATTCGCCGCTGTTGGAGGGGAACGGAGATCAACTTTTTGTTGAGCTTATTCTCGTGGTGGGGCTGCCGGTAAGTTGAAGGTATCTAGCAGGATGTCACGGGGAAGATTTACTCCTGCTGATAGGCAGTCCGGAGCTAGTCGTCTGTGTATTTGATTTCGATGGTGTGACCACCTTTCGCCTCCTACCTCTACTTCATACACAACGCGCCCAACTCTTCTGACCACTCGCGCTTCTATCCAAGGACCATGGTTTGTTCTGTAGTCACGGAAAAACACAGGACACCCCACCTCGTACTCTGATCGCTGTTCCGACTTTGTCTCTACTGATGTTGGTACATTAGTCGGATGCATCAGGCTGTGGATCGTTTTCAGTCTTCTTCCCATCAGGATTTCTGCTGGGGACCTTTGCTCCGGTAACGTCTCATCTGGTGTTGTTCGATAGACGAACAAGAAAGTTTGAAACGCGCCGACTGGTGTCCCCTCCACTTTTAACCTAGACAATCCTATTTTAAACGTATCCATAAACCTTACCACTGGCTGATTCGACTATGGGTGGTATTGTAGCGAGCACAGGTGCTTTATGTCTAGCCATTGACAGATAGTTTGGAATTGATTAGAGGTAAATTGCGGCCCGTTGTCAGCTACGATCACATATGGTATGCCATTTCGAGAGAAAATTTCAGTGATAGGCTGTATTGTTTTAAATGTCGTTGGCGGCGTTACAGGGCTGATTTCTGGCCATTTTGAAAAAGCATCGACCACAACTAAATACATAGTCCGATTAGTCCAGCCTGCGAAGTCGACGTGAATCCTGGACCAAGGGTGATAAGGTTGTGGCTATGAAACCGGTGGAACTTTGGCATTCACCCTTGCCGCTTGTTGATATCTTATGCATTTTCAACCACCGCTGAGATATGTTGATCCATTAGGGGCTAGAATGAACAACCACTCTATCCAAACATCAGGCAGTCATTTACAATACATAATGAATCATGCCACTAATACAGCTGCTTCACGTCACCATCAAGCTTCTTAGATGGCCAACAACTGGTGACACAGTTCATCATCATCTTGATGATGGGGTCGTTCCTAGAAGCATTATGTGTGTCTGTTACAGACACCAGTAATGCCCGTATTGCGATTGTCATATAACGTTCCGCCTGGTCTTCCACTGACAGAGATGCGATTACCATGTTTTTCTCAACCGCTACTTGATCATTAATCAGTCATGACAAAGCGTCTGCCTGACCGAATTGTAGAGTTCGTCGATATTGGATTTCGAAGAGCTACCCCATGAGTACTACGGCAAATCGCTGAAGACGATTCGCAGAATGGGCTGGAATGCCAGACTTTGAACCGAATATTGCTAGCAGAGACCTTAGAGAAACTTGTGGAGACGACGCACAGCAGACACAACAGTAAGAGCCTCTTTCTCTATCTATGTGTACTTATTTTCTGCTGGGTTTAGTGTACGGGATACATGCATAACGGTCTATTCTAACGCGTCTAGAATCTGATGAGAATTAACAGCATCTTTTAAATAAGTTGAGGCGTCTGCTGCTATGATGATTAGCATGGGTTCAGACGATTTTACTGGAACAAACCATGATGAGTATTGATAGTTGGCAGCTCTTTTGATGCTTCGTCGGCTTCCACTTGCCAATAAGGGTCATCTAGATTCAGTTTTGCGAAAATCTTTCCCCCGTTCAACATAGTAAACAGATCTGCTGGGACTGGTAGATGTTAATGATGCTGTTCTAAAGAAGTATTGGGACCTGTAAAAAACTCAGCACATACACGCACCGTGCCGTTGGCCTTCTTGATAATGATTATAGGTGCTGCCCAGGCAGAGGAAGAATCAGGCGTAATAACTCCTTGTTGTTCAAGGTGATTCACTTCTTCATCTATTTTTGGAAATGTTGCATAATGCATGGGTCTCTTTGTACAGGCAAACAGGCTGATCCTCAGGTTTCGATTGCCTTTGAACTGTAACAAATCAGTCGAATCTAACACAATCTGTATGATCATCTAAATCATTTAGTTTCCGTAGTCATTAGCCCACAAATTGAGATCATATTCATCCTGTTGCCTTTGGTAACAGGTTTAATTGGAATATTTATCAGTCTTTTAAAGTCGTAATGCTAGCATTCAAAACATTCGTCGTTATCTTACAACACTATATGGTTTTAAGGCATATTCTTCACCCAGAAGTTTCGTAAGGCTATTTTTTAATGCTGATGAGATGAAAAACAGTATTTACGAGAGTGCTACTGACAACTGGCTAGTTTTTAACAGTTTTCTAGATGACGCCAGTTTACAAAAAAAATTTAACCGACGCTTATGGTAAATAAGTCTCCAAAATAAATGGCATCATAAGTCTTCAGCAATGATGATAATACAGTCAGCTTCAGTATAAAAACTCAGAAAATAGGTTAAGTTCACTCACTCATTGACATCCCAACCATAATTCAACTATCCCATCGATTCTCCTCATTCCTGACTTTTGGTCTAACTTGACTCTGAGTATGCTCGGTCTAAGTGATGTTGTGCGGTTACGAATATTACTGATATCCTCATGACAGTAACATAAGAAATATTAATTACTCTAGCAGTCTTTTTCTAAAATAGGCAACCAATCAAGAATTTTTACAGCACTGTATTTATACAGATATATTCGAAATTTCGGTTACATAAGAATCGATGAACAGTTTGACAATCGTCTATGGTTTGGCTAGGACCTTGAGACATTTCACTGGTCCTACAAACGCACGAGTATTCTTTACTTCAAAAACACATTTACTGTGGTATAATTTCTCACGCACTATCATCTAAAACAGTTGCCACAAACGTTCATTAGCTCACATAGATATTTATACAAATACATCCGCTCCCTAATGTCTCCTCAGAGCGCGATCTTGGTTTAATAACCACAGAAAGCCTCCACACGAGTCCGAACTATGTAGGGGATGCAGCCAAGGCAAATGCGACTCTTCACTTTATGCGAAGACAGCTTGGTGCTATAACCCCGAAACTATTTTTAACCCTGTTTAAGACGTACGTGCGCCCACACTTGGAGGTTCACAACGTCATCGCACCCCCTATGCTTAAAAGAGACATTAATCTCTTGGATCGAGTGCAGAGACGAGCAACCAAATGGGTGATAGGTTTGAAAAATAAACCGTACGACGATAGACTCCAGCTCTTGGGATTATTCCCACTGAGCTACAGGAGAATCAGAGGTGACCTGATTATGGCGTACACCATATTAAACACGCCCAACCATCCCAATGTGAGCATCTTACCGATGCATCACCACCACTCCCCTCGAGGCAATCCTCAAAAGATTGCACATCAAAGAGCAAACACTCAGGTTCGTGCACACTTTTTCTCATTGCGAGTCGTCGCAACTTGGAATGCTCTCCCAGCCGAGGTAGTTACAGCCCCCTCAGTGGACTGCTTTAAGAAGAGACTTGATAATCACGTACTCACATGCGGACTATCATCTCCCTCTTGGACAAGCTGTGCCTGATGCATATCTTGAGACCTGCTAGTTGTTACCATTGCCATCTCCTCAGATCACTTAATTAATTTAACTCGCCTATTCCTCTCCCTTGCTTACACTTCGGTCCTCTCTCACAATCTTCACTACCAATTAATAAACTAAATTCATCTATATATTACTCAGTTCTGAAATTTTACTCATATTATCATTTTAATTTACCCTTATTACCCTTATTACTCTCCACATTGCAACTAACTGATCTCCGGTTTGGTAAAGTGACGGCTGCTAGTATCCAGAAACCCTACTGCCCTGAAACAAACGTTTCATTCAAATCCCGAGACATACAAACTCACAACCAACTGCCAACTGACTAGAATTAGACAGTCGAGTGGCTAGACCTCCATCCATTGGACATTACCGAACACCTGGAACCGTACCGAAAGAACAAGAATCGAGCGCGAAGAAATCAAATTGGTTTACACTAGCTCGTGAAAAAGATATTGGATATTGGATATTGAATTTGTTTTAATTTCTCAATTATGTCCTTAAGAGTCTAGCGGGAGGTTTACATGATTTGTGTCAGTAAGTGTCCTGACTTTTAGTTTAAATGTTCCTCAAAGTACTTGGTGTTTAATAATTGCCTAAGCAAATTAAGGTACGTAGTGCCAAGATAACAACGCCACCTTCGACGTGTAATGTCCTCCTGAGCCATGAGTCTCAAGGCCGTTTGGATAAGTGCAAAACCTTAGTTAATAGACGACCGTCTTTTACTCTGCTTTTTAGTGCCTGTTTGCAACAGTACTGAATAAATGAATGGCGATACCCCGGCTTAGTGACTATAGAATAAGTTGTGGAGATTGTGCTTATTAAATTTTTCAATAACGACTTTGCTCTGTGTAAAAAGCGTGAAGTTTAAAAATAACTAACCCGCTGACGGAGAAACATGAGGCTTGTACTTATATATCGGATTTTTTATTATGAATTCTTTAAACTTCATAAACGGTCGTTGCTTGGTGCCGTAATGTGCCTTTACAACCGTCGGTACATAATCAAGGAACCGTAAATGGGTTGATTCCCAGAATCGCATAACAGTCATAATGTGAGACTCACTGAATGGAGCTTATTTTCTTTGCCATATCTAACAGAAAAATGATCTTTATTAATCAATGCCTGTTTTCATTCCTATCTAACGGCACATCCAGAATTAAGCTAAGTCATTTGAAGGACCACCACACCAAAATCTCGTGTATTTTAGAAGGCTCTACACTTGTTATTTTTCAAGAACTAGCGACAAGAAGGTTGGTCCATAACTAGAAGGTAAAGTGCAAAGAACACCATCAAAGAATGCAGTACCCGTGCATTGATATTCTTTTGATGAGATATAATAGCTTACTATTCACCTTAGTGTACGGTATTTTTTTTATCGTATCTATGAAGCGTTCTTGATTCTTTTACTCTACGACAAACATTTATCCTTCCAGTCAAATCCTAAGACCTAGTAAGATATTTTCTTTGCGTCACTTACGAACAGGACTATGTCAAAATTAAAAATACTTAATCCAATTTATACGAAGCATGTGTTTACACATCGCTCAGCCATATCCTTTTCTATTTCGTCATAGTCTTTGTAAGCTTATAGTTGAGATTCTCTTTATATTGGTCCTGAGCAACGATTAAATTATTCAGTACAAATAAATCTTGTTTTCGTTATCTCCTGACTATTTGGTTACATCTAGACACGTGTCAGTCTGTTTTCAAATAATCTGTATTTCCTTCTGTGAAATCTATTATCCTTGTGAATTTACCAGATCTAAAAAATTCGTAACTACACTAAAAGATTCCACTATTGGTCTGAAACCGTCATAACTAGGCAATATTCCAAAAGTTCGATGAGTCTGCTTCCGTCATTAGGTTATCAGTTCTTGAAATAATCATCGTTAACAGGACGTTTAACCTGCGCTAGTCAATTGACATTAAGTGGTCCTTGAGGAATAACCACTGGTTGTGTGTTTGACAGTCCTTGTTGTATGATTTTAGGTATGCTTCCTGAAACGCTTTTAAGAAATACTCTAGTGGCGCAGATTTTTTTACAACCAATCGTTTACAACTAGTATAGGCATTCAGTTGAGCTTCTAAAAATAATAATTCTTAACGTATTAACTTCACCGATTTTCCACTTGTATACCAAGGCTTAACACATCGTAACATGTCCCCAAATGTATTGGTACGGCCAGGAGCGGAGGGTTCTCTCTCTTTAAAATAGTACCACTTGGCCAGCCGTGTATAGCCACTATCAAAGAAATCTTACTACCTTTCATCGGAAGTTTTGATTAAAATTGAGAGGGCGAAGAGCGAATGTATGGTGCCTAAGCCGGGTTGGCGGATATGTAGATCTACCTAGGAGAGTTTGAATACCATGATAACAAACCATTTGTGAACACTGGCTTTAGTATCCAGAGGGAACAAATGGTATATGAACCAATTGTTGATCACCTACTGTAGGATGGCATCTGATGTTGCTACACTGCCGTATGAATCGCACCTCTAGGTTAAAGGCTCATAAAATTACCTGGGAAAACTATGTTTCAGATTAGTCACTCGGGCAGTACCCTGGTTCACACAAAAATCAAATTTTTGTGGCGCGTAAATGTGTAGGTGCCCCTTCGTATTATCTTTTGTGCTTAAACGTAATATAGGTAGCATTTGCATTTTAATCGAATACCTCTTCTAAATTTATATTTCAGACTTTTATTGAGTTTTCGGTCTTTTCCCATCACTTGCTGACGTCCACAGAGAACAAATAATCTCTGATAAAATGCCTGGTTTACTTGATTGTATTCTTTGGTTTTACTTGCTCGCGGCCACGTGGTTCTTTTGGAGTTCAGTAGTGTCTGCATGTTTCAAAATTCAGATTATCCAGCACTTGTATATTTCTATGATGGATAGAATGTTTTCTGTATGTTGGGATTCTTTCGCTAATGTATTCACAGTACGCTGCCTCTGCTGTTACGGTGAAAGACAACATTAAGAGAGTAAGAAGCGTCGACAGTTTTGAAAACCTTGATACATATGGTTGGTTGCTTCACCTCAATGATCTCTGGCTTTAGATGATGATTTGATAGAAAGAGACATTCAACTAACCGAAGGAGGTGTAAAGGTCAGAACAAATCTTGTTCCCGATGAAAAAGGATTCAGATTGTACTACCCAACCTACTTAGTAAAATGTGGGATAGAGGTTTGTGGCCTCCTACAAACTAATGTTTTTAGGCCATTATAGAAGATTCTGTCACCAAACGATTCACGGCTGCGGAATTACGAGTATGGAATTTCTTAAGTCGCAATCAAAGTTATGTGTATGCCAAGTAAGTGTGTTATTCCTCTTATTCACTTCATAGGAGAGACAACCATACCACCCTAATGGTGCTGTGGCTTGTGGGTCTCATTGTTCGTTATGCAATATTTTTGCCATGCAGGTAAGCTGTACAATTGTTATTAGTTCCCTAGACTTGTTGTTTTCTTCTCCTCACTTTTCTTCACATTGTTAATAGGCGCTGTTTCTCAGCAGCTCCCTCCTTCACGGTAATTTCACTTTATTAAACTCATTTATGAAGGTTTAAAAGTTGGTTAGCTACCGAAGGATTCCAAGCAGCTGTGCGACTTAATTTGTGCTCATTCTCGGCAGTTATTCGTTTCCATAACAGGTTTGTTTTATTGGTTAGTATCATCGTTTAATAGTTATGTTTTCAAAATTAAATATAACTTCACTAAGCATATCTTACGTTTGCCTGATGAATGCATACATCCAAGCATTTACAATCACATTTTTTGAAAATTACAAAAGATTTCTGCTTAATAGCTTCTCCAAGTCACGGATGTTTTTTCTCAGATAATCGGTACATGATCAACTCAAATACATAGATATTTAAAAACCTCTTAAAAGTATGGCACCAGCAGAGATGACTTGTCATGCTTGTGAACTATGTTATTGGGTAGTGAAATGTTTTGTGATCAAAGCAAGCGCATAATTTTGTAACAAACTTTGAGCCACATACCCTATGTATAGGTTGAGTTTTGTACTCAGTTTCCAAAGCCATAGTTGATTCATTAGTTCATAACCTTTGTTTAGCGGTTCAAAAACAGTTTTTTAAGACTGGGAATTTTAAGGAAGGTGGCACAGTTTTAGCAGTGAGATTGATCTGAGATCTTAGGTAGAATTTGGGAACTGCGCGTAATACCATCCAACTGGTCTCAACCACTGATTGTCCCAGTCTACAAAAAAGGACAAAAGTACTTCTGTGACAATCACAAGGGAATCAGTCTGATAACGTATCGAAAGCATTGGCCCTAATAATACTCCGATGCCTAACTAGAGCACGTGAAGAGTAGACTCGAGGAAACCAAACTGGTTTTCTATCTGGACATAGCTGTATAAACCACATCTTCACACTTCAAACACACAGACACACGTTCAGACGTCCCACAATAGTAGTATTCCTCGACCTTAAGGCGGCATTCGAATCTGTAGGTTGTGAGGTTCTATGTCAGTGTCTGTCATTGAAAAAAACACCAGACAAGTACATTAACCTTATACAAGCTCTCTACTCGAACACTACTGGCTGAGTCAGAGCTTATAGCAGTCTGTCATCGAAATTCATTACTTCAAGTGATTTTCTTCAGGGCTGTCCACTCTCTCCATTCTTGTTTAATTATGTCATAGACATGCCTTTAGAGATAACGCTATCCTTATCTGACTGTTCAAGGTAGGCTTATCAAAAGACTTGCTTGTTGATGACATTTGTCTACTTGATGAAGACGCGGACAAAATGCAGAGTCTTCTGACTACCCTGAACAACGATGCAAGCATGTTGTGGATGAAATTCTCCCCCTCGAAATGCACAATGTTGCTTCATGATTAGCTTGTATCGGCACGTGAACTAGTGATAGGGAGTGAAGCAGTTGAGCGTGTTAACTGCCTCACTTGTCTGGGGAGTCCCATCAGTGCCGATGGCCTGGTGTGTGACTGAATCTCAGCACGGATTCAGAGGGCTCAGCTAGGTTTTGCCAACCTGCGTCACTTATGGCGTAGGCGAGTTATCCGTCTCAGTCAGTCAGTTGCAACGTAGAACTTCGTACGTAAGTACATCAGTTCATGTCGCCATACCACATCAGCACAGAGATATAATTGTCAATTCAAATCCAATAGTAGAAGAGGTAGTAAAGGTATTAGAAGTAATCGGAGAGGTTAGGATTAGAAGATATTATTCACGAAGTATGATTCAGTGAGATAAGTTTAGAAAGTAAAAACTAGAGGTGTTGAAGAACCCAGAAGATTAGGATTTGAGAGAACACAAAGCATTAATGCACCGGCGCCATTGCGAACGGTTTTGAGCCATGTCATTCAAGGTCTCTAGCCATCGATTATTATCATCTCGCGGACCCCAACCAGGTAGTCGACAATTACCGACATGGCTAAGTCCACTCGTCAATGACTTCATGGATTTATGCCATGTTTTGGTCTGGCCGCCCCTAGCTTTCTTCCAACCTATTCCTACACTACAAAACAAAGCTCGACGAGGCAGTCGGTGGTTAGGCATACGCAACACGTGTCCCAACCACCTCAACTGATGAAGTTTCAATACTTCATCGATTGATCTGCCATTCTTACCTAGTACCCGTTTCCTAATAACAGCGTTGCTCACTCGGGTGTCCCACGATATACGAGCAATGCTTCGAAGACACCTATGATCGAAAACCAATAAGCGACGAGTATTTTCCACTCTCATTGGCCATGTTTCACAGCCATAAAGTAAGACGGAGCGAACCACTGCTCAGTACACTCGTCCTTTAGTCAGCGAACGGATATCTCGCCTACGCCATAAGTGACGCAGGTTGGCAAAAGCCAATCGAGCCTTCTGTATCCGTGCCGAGATTTCGTCAGTCACCAGGCCATCAGCATTGATGAGACTCCCAAGATAAGTGAAGCGGTCTACACGTTCGACCACTTCACTCCCTATCACTAGTTCAGGTGCCGATGAAACCCAATCTTGAAGCAACATTTTGCATTTTGAGGGTGAGAACCGCATCCCGAACATGCTTGCATTGTTGCATAGGGTAGTCAGAAGACTCTGCATTTTGTCAGCGTCTTCACCAAGTAGGACTATGTCATCGGCATATTCTAAGTCAATAAGCGAGCCACCTGGTAAAAGGTCTACAT